GACCCAGCGATGGCAGCACAGAGAGATTTCAAATTTTGAGTACTTGATGTTTCTCAACACGATAGCAGGTAATCTAAGTCCACACATTAACTTGTTTCAAACAATAAATTCTTAATTGTGACATGGTTAGATTATTTTGAGTAGTAGTGTAAGTAGCTTATTTTTATTGCCGTTATTACTACTAGAATACCTTATCAGAAGTAATTTGATAATAGAGTTTCCAGTTTTGCATATGAAGAATTGGCTACTTGAGAGAAATTAAAAATGGGTATAAAAACTCTTTTATAAAAAAGAGAAAAGGAGATTTTACAATTATTTCATATAGTAGGAATGTACTCCCCTTGTGGAATAGTGCAAATGAAGAACCACATAAAATCTTAAGAACCTGTTAATAGCTTAGTTAGAAATGTGTTAATGATGAAACAATAAAACACAACATAGAAAAAAGAAAACTGTGGGTAAAATATTAAGTAATGAAAATCTAAAAACCAAATGGCACTGCATAAGGTCTGTAATCATGCAATTTCATTGAAAATCACCCATTGAAACTATTTACTTTGAGTTTAGAAATGTGTCATTACTTTTCATTTGTGACAACTAGAATAAACAAAACAGAATATATATGCAAGACACTTGAGATTCAGTTCAACAAACCGATGTTGAGCTGAAAGGCACAAAGGAGATACGAAGAGAGTAAGGCATGTTGCTTACTCTTAGAGACATTATTTTAAGTACAAATGTTAGTATTTACATGAAGCTAGAGTAAAGCAGTTTATAGAGTCAATAAAAGAAATTCAAAGTGCTGTGGTGATTAAAAGGGCAGAGAGAGAGAGGGAAATTATATTCACACAGTTGGTGGGAATAAGGAGAAAACGAAGGATTTGAATGGTCATATAAGGATGGATATTACTTTGGCTAACAGAGGAGGTGACTTAGAAGTCATTCCAAGTAAAACTGAAAGCATAAGCAAACATACAAAGATGGGAAAATATAAACTATACAAAGAAAACAATTAATGGTATAGTTTGTGCCTGAATGTATATACTATATATGTGGCATGTACATAAATTATATATTCATAAAGACATACTGATAAGAAATGAGAATGTTAGTATGGAAGATTTCCTGTCAGTTTGAGGAATTAGCAGTCAGTTCATGGGGAAGCTTTTGAATGTTTTTGAGCATGTAAGTGATATTAGTACCGTATGAAAAATTAACTTGGATATAATATGTAAGATAAATTTGAGTGATGGGAGATGCGGCAGAGAGCAATGTTAGGAAGCAATTACATAATAAAAAGTAATGAGGGCCTGCATTAAAGAGGTGACAGTGGGAATTAAAAGGAAGGATCAATTATGTAAGAATTCACAAGGCACCAACCATTTGATATGCAGCTGACTGAATGTAGGGGGTAAACAAAAAGAAAGTGTCAGAAAAGACTTCCAGGCTTCTGGCCTGAATCATTTGGAAAATGGTGGTCCCATTAATGGAAAAAGAAGTCAGAAAATTTGATCTAGGGAAAGGTGATGATTATACTGTGCTTATAAGGCATTCAAGTTAAGAAAGAGTTTTTGAAAGTGTAGGTCAAAGAGGTATTCAGAAATTAGAGATTGGATGTTGGATTTTGTCTTCACTGAGAGGAAATCACCAAGAAAGATGAGATCACCAAGACAGATAATAGAGAGAGCAGTGAGGTAAGGTCAAGGGAATGCTCTTGTTTATGAGAAGAAAGAAGGAAAGTTAGTAAAGAAGAAAAAAGAATGAATGATCCTAGAATTTATAGATATAGGGGGAGAACTGAGGTTAATCAAATGTCTCAAGAGGCAAGGGGAAAGAGAGAAGGCGTTTTTCACCCGCATCAAATGTTATAGAGTGGTAAGGGAGAATTCAAAATGAGTACAGGGCACACCTTTGGGTTTGGCATTCTGGAACTTACTGGTTACTTCACGGGGGTTCATTTTTAAAGCAGACAAAAATGGTTGATTATAAGGAGATGAAATGGGAACTGTAGATATAGATTATAATTTTCTTAAACATGTTAGTTATTAAAGAGAGGATGGGTTAAGGCAGAAGGGAGAAACCATGGAAGAGGGAGAGGATGAGTAATAATTCAAGTTATGAGAGAGATAGGTTCAAGAACTCAGATAAAGGAATTACTCTTAACAAAGAAAAAAGACCCTGTAAGAAAAAGAAGAAAGAGAATGGGGGTATTATAAAGAATTGGAAGTTGAGGGGCTCACATTAAAAGGTCTAAATTTCATCGGTTAGGAAGAAGTTCATCTCGTAGTCAGCTGAGGAAAAGAAATGAAGAAAATGTGAACAGTTATGTTGAATTAGTGCAATTATATAACTAGTGCCTGAAAGGATTTTTAAGTAGTAGTGAGAGACAGGAAACGTATATAACAAGTTTAATGGTCATATTTTGCATGTAGTAAATCAATTAACCCATATTGATTGAATACATAGTAATGGTTATGGAGCAAACTTTATGAAATGATCTACCATGAAATAGCTTTTATTGTGCCTACAATGACTTTACATATATCATCTGTATATTCTTTTTAAAAAATAGAATCAATACTTTGTTTTGATTGGTTTTTATGTACATTAGAGGGTAGAGTTAAGTCTCATTTAACATTTCTTTTACACTATTGTCTTTGCCACATATAGGTTCTCATGATATCATGACACAGTTCCCAAATGGCAGTCGGTAGGCATTCAATAACTATATATTGAGTTTAATTTAATTAAAAATCTAATCACACTGAGCAGATGTATACTTTTCTTTTTTAAGGAACAATAAATTTTTGATTATTTCAGACTGATGTAAATAGACGTGACAAGATGAGGATTTTACTGTTTACTAACATTTAAATTGGAGATGGAAATAAGGGAAAAGGAGGAATCATAAAAGACTATTTTTTTTTTTTTTGCGTTTGCAGCGAAACAGAGAATTTATTTTAAAAGAGATTCATTTTCAAATTTCAGAAAGGAGATTGAAAGCATGCCCCAATGGTCACGAGGGATGTGTGTGCCTTATCTTTCTCTCATCAACAGTTCTTTTTTTTCCTGGGTGGAGATTTTTAAATCTCAAGACTTCCTCTGATATGTGTGAATTGATTTGAAGGCAAATAGGGTTAAATATCAGGAGGTTTAAAATTCATCCACTTGACAAATATTTATTGCGTCCCCACTGTAGGCAGACATTGTTCTAAGTCCTGGGGATAAAGGAGCAAACAAAACAGACAAAAACCTCTGCAAATAACAAACAAGATACTAAGACTACATATTGGGTACACATAGAATACACAGAGAAACCAGCAAGGGCACATATAGGGTTAAGACTGGTAAGAAATTTCTGGTTTAAATTTGCCCTTGTTAGGAAAGGCAAATGCTTACTGGAACATGCTAAAAAATATTCAGAGAAGTCCTGCTTAACACAATCTTGCTAACCCCCAGTCAACAGAATATTCAAATGCTTGTTTGATCAATGAAAACTACGATAGTAATTAGCATGCATTTACTGATTTCCTTCACACTGCAGCATTTACATTGTTTCAGTTAATATATAACTTACATATAGTAAAATACATAAATCTTAAGCATGTAGCTTGATAATTTTCGTAAATGTATGCACCCCCATAAGCACCTCCCAGAGAAAGCAGGATGGTTGACTTCCAGCTCTCACCGTCCCCTCTTGCCATTCCTCACCCGGTCACCCACAGAGGTCATCATTATTCTGACCTCTCTCACCACGGATGAGTCCTGCCTCATAAAAGACTATTTTTGCTGCTAAGTTTGGTTATTTTTCCTTGGAGAAATTAAAATTATTGACAGAAATATGCAATGACTTAATTTCCTCTGAATTAAAATTGTCCTTGTTGTTAATGTTTTGTAAGATTGTTTCCAGATTGGTCAAAAAAGAACTATGTTACCCTAATAGGCCCCAAGCCCAAGATAGAGTAAAATAAAAAGTTGAAAAATCAGACAATGAAAAAGGCTTACATACCAAGAGTCTGTGTAGAGAACTACTTTAATATTCAGCTATATACTGATACGACATCAGTATAAGTTTGATAAGAAAAAGGGAGATAATAGAATACAGTAAGAAAGGAATTCAAACAATATTAATCTATTTGTGTTCCTTATGTTTTAGCCATGAAAGTCTCTTCATATTAAATCTAACTAAAACTATGTTACAGATTAGTAAGTAGGAACTGGGATTCAATACCAGTATTTTGACTCCAAACAATGATCTCATCCACTATGCTAACTCACTAAAGTGGTGATATCCAGAAAACCACTGTACACATGTAGAAGGACTACCTTATTCTTTACTTTAATTTGTATTTTTAATAAATCTGAGTATGTCATGAATGTCATTAGTTTAGAAGAACATGTTGGCAGCGTTTAGGGGTGGGAGAAGCAACACTGATAATGCTGTGCATTATGTTCAGAGGATCATAGAATTTGAAAACTGCCATAGAAATTACAGAGTTATTTGGCACAATATCCTCATTTTGCAGATGACTAGTGAAGGTCTACAGGAGATAATTCACTTAAACTTAGTGAGTTAGTTGATTGGTTGGTTAGTTAGTGGCAGAGAAAGGATTCTGATTTTGAAAAACACTAGGAGAATTGCAAATTGTTTTCTAAAGTCTTAATAAAGACTATTTCATTTGGAACAGCCTTTCAAGTGATAAAAAACAGGCAAGTGTAGTTTAAAAGAGCATAAACTTTGAGACCAGATAATCTGGATTTGAATATGGTTCAACTTTTACTAGTTGTGTGATTTGGGACAAGTTGCCTAACCTTTTGTGCCTCAATTTTTTCATCTATAAAATGGGGGTGTCACTGATTTCATAGGATTATTATGAGGATTAAGTGAGATAAAGTATGCATACTGAGGACAGTGTCTGGCACTCAAAAATTGTTAGTTTTTATATTTAGTAAATTATATTTCCTAATTTATGTATCATTTCATTTTTTTCCCCTACCAGGACGGAGTTACAACGACTTAAATCAGTATCCAGTGTTTCCCTGGGTCATCACTAATTATGAATCAGAAGAACTGGATCTTACCTTGCCCAGCAACTTTAGAGATTTGTCCAAGGTAATTTCTCAGTAATCATTTGAAATATAATTGTCTTGAATATAAAAATAAATTTGATTATATTTAGTTATTTTCATATAACTTTAAAAAAGCTTTTAAATATTTTTGCAGCTTTAATATAGTTGTCTTTTTAATGTATTTCCGGTATTCTCAAATTTAAAATTAAAACATTTAAAGTGCATGATAAACTTGATGACAACTAATAATACTGCATTATGTTCATTTTTCCATATACATTCAAGAAGACATTATCCCCAAATGTCAACAACTTCTAAGGTTGTTAATATTTGATAAAACATATGAAGAAAATCATAGGCAGTACTCATATAAAGACACTATTCCAAGTCTCCTGATTTCCCGTTACTTCTTGCCCTTCTTTGATCCATTTCTCACCGACACAAAATGGTTTCTTTTTAATTCTAATATTGAATTATATAACTCCCTAAACCTTTCTTATCATTGAATGCAGAATAAATCTTTCCCAATTCAGAGCCTTGCCTCTCCAACTTTAATGTTTTGTTTCTTTACTTTGTGAGTGCCTGACTCTCATCCTTTAGATCAGCGGTCCCCAACCTTTTTGGCACCAGGGACCAGTTTCATGGAAGACAGTTTTTCCATGGACGATGAGGGTGGGGTAGGGGGGCATGGTGAGTGATGGAGAGTGGGTGTAAATACAGACGTAAATACAGACGAAGCAAAGCCACTCTCCATCACTCCCCATTCCCCCGCTTCCCCCTCCTGCCTGCCTCATCTCCTGCTATGCGGCCCGGTTTCTAGCAGGCCACGGACTGGTACGGGTCCTCTGCCCAGGGGTTGGGGACCGCAGTGATAAGGGATTAATATCCAGAATATATAGACAACTCCTAAGACTCAACAAAAATTAAAAAATGGGTAAAGAACTTGAATAGGTATTTCTCCAAAGAAGATATACAAATGGCCAATGAAAACACGAAAAGATGCTCAATATCACTGATTATTAGGGAAATGTGAGTCTCAAAAAGATATCATTTCACAGCCATTAGGATGGCTGTTATTGAAAACAAACAAATTCAGAAAATAATAGGTGTTGATGTGGATGTGGAGAATTGGAACTCTCCTGTACTGCTGATGGGAATGTATAGTAGTTCAGCTGACATGGAAAGCAATATCGCAGTTCCTCAAAAAACTAAAAGTAGAATTACCATATAATCCAGCAGTTCCACTCCTGGGTATATATATCCAAGATATGTACCCAGGGATATTGAACAAATTGAAATTGAAAACAGGGATATGAACAGATACTTGTATACCGATGTTCAGATTTGTAGCAGTATTACTCATAGCAGCCAAAGGTAGAAAACAACCCAAATATCTATTGACAGATAAATGGATAAACAAAATGTGGTATATACTTAAAATGGCCTTAAAAATTAAGGAAACTCTGACCTCAAATAACCTTGAAGATATGCTAAGTAAAATAAGCCACTAACAAAAGGGCAAATACTGTATGATTCCACTCAGGCACTTAGAGTAGTTGAATTCATGGAAACAGAAAGTAGAATTATGGTTGCCGGGGTCTGGGGTGAGGGGAAATCGGGAGTTATGTTTAATAGGTAGAGAGTTTCAGGTTTGCAAGAGGAAAAAAGTTCGGGGATGGATAGTGGAGATGACTGCTCAACAGTGTGAATGTACTTAATGCTGCTGAGGCTGTATTTCTCTCTCCTGCCATCCTTGTACCTGAACTTAAAAATGGTTAAAATGATAAATTTTACGTTATGTATATTTTACCACCATTAAAAAAAAAGAAGCCAGCAAGGAAAAAAAAATCTTAGCAAACTGGAGGCAATTAGAGCTTTGAAAAAATGTCATGTGTTTCTGTTCTTGCTTCTCTGCGATCACCTTAAGAACATGCCCAAAACATTCCCAGATTAACCTGCTAGAGGGATGTGACTCATATGGAGGCAGCTGTCCCAGCTGAGGCCATCCTAAACAAGCCAGTCCTCAGCTGACCTGCCAGCTTAGCACAAACGAACGAATCAGTCCAACTAAGAGCAGCCAAGCCTGGCCCGGAGCAGAATTTCCCAGTTGACCCCTTGACTGTGAGAAATAATAAACTGTTGTTGTTTAAAAAACAAATAAATAAGTAAAAAGGAAAGCCTTATTCACATATATGTAAGCCTTACTTACATATAAGTATTGTACTTATTCTAAGACCCCATAGTATTTCACTGGAATCTATAGAGCTAATAAATGTAGGTTTAATAAATGAAGACCATATTAGTTTGACTTGTGTAATGAGCCATGCAGTAGGTCAATAATAAAAAGTGGACAGATCCTTAATCCTCAGGCTATTACATCCTCTCTCTCTGTTGTAAGAATTTTATGTACATAAAAGTAAAAATTTCATTTTTAATGAATTTGTTAGAATATAAAATTTGCTTCACAAACTGAATGACATTTAAATAAATACCCATTCTAGAGTTCTAGAATTACTTCCCTTTTTTAGAACTGAATCCTTCGGTCTGAACTTCTATTTAAGCACCTAGCTTATTAAGTTTTTTGCGCTTTGGATGATTTTTTTGGAAATCTTAAAGATGCAGTGGGTAGTAAGATGGATTGTGGGCTTGGCCCCTGGTTCTGTCTTGGTGGAATAGCAACTAATAGTGATAAATGGGAAGCTATTTGCATATGTCTTCTAAGGCTGTATTTCTCTCTTTTGCCATCCTCATACAGGAACATAATCTCCCATAAGCTTTTTACCTCCTCCTACCACCACTCTTTCTTGCCAACTGCCTCCATTCTCTAACCCTTCTCTTTGTTCTCTATCCCACTAAAAACCCAGAAGAAAGCCTCCAAGACAATTTTGTTATGTAGGCCATATGCTTTTTTTTAATTATAAGTATTCATTGAAATAATATCATAAAATGCTATTGTACATTATTTGCCAGCTAAGGGAATCCTTCATTAAAATTGAATTTTATTTGTATGTTACAACTGTTCCTAAGGAACTTGCCAAATACTTTTGTTGGGTGGGTAAAGTATTATTTTATCTAATGCCTTTGTAACTTCTCTTCTGGATATGATAAATACAGCTATTTTTATGCCCCACTAGATGATCAATAGTAATTTTGCTTCTTTATTCGTTACATCAAAAGTAAGAAGGGGGAGCAGCAAAACAAAAACAAAACAGTTGCTTTCATTAGTCTTTATCCAAATATGTCTATATCCACTAAACAAAGACATAAAAAATAGCATTTATGTGATTTTTGTGTTTTTAATTGTGGAGGCATCCATTTTTCTATTTCAAGAGATTTTGTGAAATATTTGTACTTTTAGCTGAAGAAGGTATATTTATAAAGAGTGCTTTCAACAAGAACTGAAGGGCACACAATTGAATAGTGAACAGTAGAGTAATTAATAGGTCTGGGAAGAAGTGGGAAGCTCTAACACTCAACCCACATATCTTATAACTAATAGCTCCTTTCCTATAAAGCAGCAGTAGTTCGAATGCTGCAAAAGTCATTCAGGTTCATGAAAATGGAATTCTACTAGTACTGATTGCTTTCATTAAATATTGATAAAATAAGTGAGTTTAGAATTAACTGCATTATTTTAATTGAAATAATCAAGCACATCAGATATTTGAAAATTGTACTTTGCATATATAAAATAGTGGTGATTACTTAGTAAAAGTATCTCATTTCTTTTAGTATTAAGGCCTGCTGAAATGTTTACAATGTGATTCAATTTTCAATTATTTGTTTATACACACTTTAAGGAATATATCTCATACATAAATGAGCTATCTCTGTTCAAATAATGATTATAATAGAATTGTATTAAGATTTGTCCCATAGTATACATTTTGCAAACATTACTATTTGTTTAAATAAACTTGTGAAATCCTAGAAAACATTGTGTGCAAAGCTTAATTTAGAACATAAACAGATCTTATCCCCATTCTTAAGTGGATAATATAGCCTGACTGGCTTTAAAGTGTATTGAATTATTTATGCATATTTATGTCCATTTAATTTCTCCAAAGCAGATTTTCAGAGAAGTTGTAGTAGCTTTGATACAAAGCTACAATTTTATTTGGTAATCTCTTCAATGTTGCACAGGGAATTTTCTTTCTGAAACTGGATTAATGTAGTCAACAACCCTTCTTTTGTATTATTTTTCTGATCATTTTTTCAGAAAAGAAAAAATCTGAATAGAACTGTAAAAATGTCTTCTTGAAATATGAACTTTTATGTACAATATCTCTTTATAATCATTGCAAATTAGCATTGTCGGTATTTTGAGAAGTTCAAATCTAGTTTGAGAAGCTGATGAAAATTAAATGTTTTCTTACATTGAGAAAGCTCTCATTTGGCATAATGGTTTAATTTAGTCTTTCAAAGCTGAAAAAAAGTAGGGATCGGTTTTGAAGTTGATTTTTCCCCCCTACTTTCCCAGTTGTTTCATCAGTAGTCTGAAATTCTGACTGATGAGAAGACAGATCTAACCATGCATGGAATTTGGAGTGACATTAATCCATATTTTATAAATACACATTGATTTTATATTTTGACAGCCTCCTTGGAAGAGATAAGAATCAACATTTGCTTTTTGTCTTTTCTTTATAAGAAATTATAATCAGGGCAGGAATATATTTACAAAATGTCACACCATAAAAACAAATTATGATGGCTGGACATTTCAGTACCAGACTTCCTTTGTAGATTAGGAAGATCTCTTTTGCAACTGTGATTTACTTTTTTTCTTTACTCTGCTTTCGAGAGTGATTATGTAAACCAGTTTTTTAAGAGAGGAAAACCAAGACAATTTGAGGCAATCATTTTTCTTCTAATTGATCGCCATAGTTATCTTAGAATATATACGATGTATTTATACCATAATCTGCATACCTATTCCAAAAAAAATTGTATGTTCTTAGATTGAAGTACAGCTGATAACCATTCACTTGAAAATCAAAACTCAATCATCTTGGCTATGGAATTCAGAAGGCAGGAACATCT